GTCAATTGACTTTATTTCGCACCAGGGTGGGAAATAAAGTCAATTGACCTTATTTCCGTTGATCTTATTACCTGTCACCTATGAATTTATATGAATAAGTTTCAATAAGATGTTAAATTTATCAGACATAAATCTTTCAAACCCTGTTAGCTTCCTCTAGAAATTATTTGAAAATATTAAGATTTTCGTCGATGTCTTTATTTTGTACGTAGAGAAAAAAAATGAAGCGGTGCCCGATACAAAATTTAGATATTGACGTTTTTAAGGACCACCCTAGTGGATATGTATCTCGACGATATTTTTCTCCTGGCTTTAATTACTACATATATCTCTCGCATATCTTCATAACATTTTCCCATTATTGGATTGTAGCTTAAATAGTTATTCCACTAATAAGCTCCAATACAAAGGTGGCAGTACATAATATCTCTACGAAAGCAGGTCCTTCGTGGTCGTGGTTATATGATATGACTGGATTTAACTCCTTAAATTCTCTTCCATTCATTCATTCCATTCCCTACTAGCTTTCTTCACAAGCATGTAAATAACAGCAAGAAATAAATTCTTTGCCTGATATAAATGCAACACAAGGTCTTTAGAAAATTCTATTGTCGGGCGAAATGACTGACAGTCAATGTCAAACTACCGGCGAAATCACAAAGATAAGCGTTTATGCCAATGTCAATTGTGTGAGCGGCGATTATCGAATAACTAAAAAAAAGAAAATTCACAGTAACCCTTTCAATGTTGCGCGCAAGTGTTGAAATTGTTAACAATGAAGAAGCGGCGGCGTTGCTATAAAGTTACTATGTATGTATATTAGACTGCATCACCAAAAAAAGTTGCGTTTTTTCCACCGGGATTACAAAATATATTATATTTTAAGACGTCCACCAAAATATTTCGGAAAAATATTAAGAGTTAAGCGACCTGGACCGATTTGAAAATACCTCCAAAAATGAATTTTTTTATGAATAAAAATAGTTTCTTAAAGAACTGTTTGAAAAAAGTCCCCTCAGATCACAAACTAGATTAAGCTTAAAAAATCTGCATAAAAATATTTAAAAATCTTTTCAACGGAATCGTAAGAGTGAGATTTTTGATGCTGTTTTTTTACTTTTTTCAAAGATTGGTTTACGAAAAACTTGAATAACTGGGCCAAAAATGTTCCGATTTAGACTTATGGGATCTCAGTAGAAAGGTATTTTCACACTGTTTGTATTTCTGGCCAAAACAACGTCATTCGTGTCCCATCTTGTTTTTTCGAATACCAACACATCTTAATTCAACTTTGAATGACGCTCGTTCATCCTACCTTTCTCTTCCATCCTTTGAATGAGTTTATTAGCAATGAGGAAAAGAGGGTGAGAAAATACCTTTCCAGTGACACCTCTTAAGTCTAAATCGGAAGAGTTTAGGTTCAGTTATTCAAGTTTTTCCTATACCAATCTTTGAAAAAAGTTAAAAAACAACATCAAAAATCTCATCATTACGATTCCGTTCAAATTTTTTTTTAATTTTTTTTAAATATTTTTATGCAAATATTTTAAGCTTAAACCGTTTTATCATTTGAGGGGATTTTTTCAAAAAAAAAATCTTTAAGAAACTATTTTTATTCATAAAAAACCCGATTTTTGGAGGTATTTTCAAATCGGTCCAGCTCACTTAAATCTTAATATTTTTCCGAAATATTTTAGTGGACGTCTTAAAATATAATAGATTTTATAATTCCAATGGAAAAATAGTACCGATTTTTTTTTGTATGGAGAGTGATGCAGTCTAATGTATATGTATTTGTAAGTGTATATGTATGTGTTCGAGAAAACTTCAAACGATTTTTTTTATGCGCCCAAGTAGATAAATGTTTTCTTTAATATTTATTATTATTTTTATTTTTATTATTTTTCACCAACTGCTTCGGTCTCTTATCGGCCGCAACGTAAATCACCCATTTTCGAGAAGTAAGTAGACAACCACAAACGAACACTCACTCACACACAAACGTTGCTTTTTTCCATACTAAATAGAACGGCTGAAAGTGTAAATTTGTTGTTGCAGCAGCACTTTCCAAGGTACAGACCACAAAACAACTTATCGCACAGTAGCAAACCTAAAGCGGCTGTCAACAAGAAAAGTGCAAGAAAACTAAATACAAAGGACAGTTACTCAGTGAGGCAAGCATACCCAGTTCATGGTGAAACGAATATCGGTATTGTACCCAGTTGGCATTTGCAATAATATTTCCCAAAAGGCACCCTTCTTAAATGACTACTTACATATATGTAGGCTTGTAAGCATATTTTGTGAGATATTTTTTGGCACGCAGCTGATTTGGAAAATATACTAACTACTTAGAACTAATTTTTAAATATTTCCAACGCCAGGTAAGCAGCTATTACAGCCGTAAAATAATGGCTAAAAAGTACGATCCCAGGTGCTAAGACCGCTGCCTCACAAATGCTGGGAAGCTGAAAAGGAAGTGTTGAGACGATTAATTCTCGTCGTCCGCCAAGCCATACAAACGCTGGCATTTGGATTTGCGGTTGTATGAGACTATTAGTATCGTTTAATAACCACCATTCCAACTTGGGTTAGGATGATAATCAGCAGCACGCGTTCTGGTTTTGGGTCGAAAATTTGCTGAACTGTCACAAGGCGCATTTGGTTAGGAGTAGTCCACATTCTCTCCAGTCTCTATTTTCTTAATAAGGACAAACCCAGCGCACCTTGCCGGCCAGCTAATCCGCCAAGCAGTTTATTGCTGAATCACTATGGTTTGGAAACTACCTAAGTAGGTAATACCCAAACGTGGCCGAAAGAGATGACGCACAGTCACCAAAACGCTTTTTTACTCCATCGTGAGCGAAAGAGACTACTAGACAATTGTCAATTCTTGCAACTATCTTGAAAGCTCTTTATTGTCTTTCGAAAGACTAATTGACTGATATTCTGACGAGGAGATCTTAGCGTTCTACTGTGCGCCTTACAGAAATAAGTTTTTTAAAAATTTAATTGAACTCAAAAAAAAAATAAAAAAACAAATGGATATATTTTTCATTTTAAAATAATTAAAATTAATAAATAAAAGATCGTCCAGTTAAGAAAAAAAAAAGTAAATGAAAATAAAGCAAAATTAAATTAATTTTTTTCTTTAACTAAATTAATTTAATATAAAATGTTTTTATTCTTAAATAAAATTTAAAAATTAAAATAGAAAAATAATAAAAAATTCACGAAAACAGAAGAAAGTAGTACTTAAAAATTAAACTTAATAAAAAAAATATTTTTATTTTTAAGCAAAATCTACAAATTTGAAAAATATTGAATTAAAAAACCACAAAAAAAAATAATTTTTTTTTTGTAAAAATGTCTAAAAATTATGTGATCTTAATTTTTTTGAAACAATAAAATCTAGAACCTAAATGTTCATGTTCTTTATTATTATCTCATTAACAAAAAAAAAAAAAAAAAAAAAAATAAATCGCTAAAAATTCAATGAAAATATATTTTTAACAATAAAATCTAAAAATTAAAATAAAATGAAACTAAAAAGACAAACAAAGAAGAAAAAATAAATAAAATAATTTTCTTAAAATCAAATGAAATTTAAGAAAATATTCTTCTTTTTAAAACAATAGCAACTGAACATGGAAAGAAAATTAAATTGAGAATGAAAAAAAAAAATTAAGAAAGAAAACACATAAAATAAGTCACTAAAAATTAAGTGAGATTAAAAAATAAATATTTTTCTTTTCAAAACAATAAAATCTAAAAATGAAAAGAAAATTGGATTAAAAAGAAAAAAGTGTAAATTAAAAAAATTAAAATTAAAAATTCCTCTGCTCGAGAACTCATACTCGGATCTCTCGAATGACACGCCTATGATTTGCACATTCGGCCACTACGAGTTTATTGGTATACAATTGCCTTCTCCCAAAATAGCTTTTCACCACAAGTGGTGAATGAGAGAGCATTTTTTCCAAGGATTTTTCTGCTAGAATACAAAAAGTCTTTTGCATTGTCTTGCCATCTGTAGGTACTTAATTTGAATTACGAAAGTCTTTTTACTATCTTATTCAGAATTGACCTGTAAATGACAGGATGAGAGTGATCGTAAATTCCAAATGGTTACAGAGAAGGCCGCTCATTGTACATGAAATATTATGGGATTCACTATGGATGCTTTTTCCAAAAAATTCCTCAAACTTCCGTTAAGAAGAAGGGTAGTGGAAATAATTTGCAAATATAGCATAAGAAGCGAAAAGGAAACAGTATCGATTCGAAACGTCTGCTTGGTTTTCTTAAGCAACGCAGAGGAATGTTTCTATACACCTTTCAAATAAAATCGTTCCATATACCTTGAGGGTGGTTACGAATTTTTTTAACTTCCATTTATGTACTTAATTTTTTTAATAGTCAAAAATAAAATTTTTTAAGAATCTATCCAAGATCTTCCTTCTTTTTAATCATATCAGCTCTAATAGGAAGTAAATTTTGCACATACATATATCATTGAATAGCTCAGTGAGAGGGGAGAATGTTGATGACTTTTCAGTTTCTGTCGTTGCCTACTGGGGTGCGTTCATACTTTTGTACGCAGATAATATAACAAGTAGTATGCAGCTACCAGTTATGTTGAAGGCATGATCGGATACTCCAGTGTGAAAGGAAGTGTTTTGACAATTTCATAATACGAAGCTATATACGAGTATTTGCCACACACCACACCCACTTGCCACGTGAACGTCAGACTAAGCTTTTTTTCCCACCAAAAAAAAACTAATATATTCATGAAAAATGCCACTTAAATCTAGCAAGATTAAATTTATTTCGCGCAAAATTGTCATTTCCCCTAAAAATGGCACTTTTCAACACTTTTGCATATCACTTTCCAGCCAACTTTTTCCTCTTTTTATTTCTTAGAGAATAGTATAATTTTTCATCTCCTTCCTCGTCCGCCAATCACTACTTATCGCACACTTTGTTTTGTATACTTTCAGGCGTCACAGTTGCACACAATCTAGCGCCAACACAGGCGCGCGCCCATTATGCCGGGCCGCAGAGCGATGGAGAACAGCACAACAATAGCAAGAAAAATGCAAACAAAGTTGAGCAGCCGCAAGCGACACAATCGCGAAATCCCATCAGACGTTCGCAAAGTGAGCGCCACCCACGCACAGCAATAGGGCTAACAATGCGGGCCAACAACAATAGCAATGATGCCAACAGCTATGAACGCGACAACGACGACGACCATCAACTAAGCGTAGACGGCGGTGATGGCGGCGGCGGCGGCGAAGGCGGCGACCAACACACCACAACAAATGGTGGTGGTGACCTGCGTTTGGCAACAGACTCTCGCGCCGGAAATAGTGGTAACAACAGGAAACGCAACAATAACAACAAAACCATTGGCAAAAACAAAAGCGAGAGTTACCGCGAAGAGGCCATTTTAAGTTTCAAAGATACCATGGCATTGCGCACCAAGCTGCACCGCAACGATAGTCGAGATTTATTTGCACGTCCACGCGAACCGCCGCCTCCCCCACCAACACCCACGTCGCCACACGCCAACAATATTGCCAGTAGCATTGTTGGGACAACAGCTGCTACACAAACGACCTCGACCGCCACAAGCGCCAACATGGCCGCCGCTACACTTGCCACAAATGGTATGCCAGCCGTTAGTGTACGACTAATGACGACGATGGGGGCTGCGACGTCAACACAAAACTGCCAAGCAAACAACTCGATGCTTTCGCCTGTAGCGGCAACAAACCAGCAAGCTACGGACAAAGCAAAGAATCCGACAGCGGCAGCAGCAGCAGTGGGAGCAGAAAAAACTGCGACGCGTATTACCAAAGTCAGCACAAACGGATTAGAGGAGCAACAACAAGAGGGAGCGCCAGAGCTCGAGCTCGAGCTAGCGCAAAACAAGGCAGACGAACAAGAAGCCGTTGGAAAAACTCGAACGCATCTGGCATTTGAAAGCCACGCTGATAGCGCACAATGTGGCATGCAACAAATGGCTATACAAAATATGCACGAAACAAAAGCACAACATCAACAACAGAAGCAGAAACAGAAACAGCAGCAACAATATATCCGTAACGCCTGCGAGACCACAATTCGCGCGATAACAACACCACATGGCAGCAGTTTGTTGTCTGCCTCAACCAATGCCACCAATAGGGCCTCCATCAACACTAATACCTCGCCGCAGCAACGCACTGTCGTACGCGTCGCACCGTTTAACCAAACCAAAACCACTTCGGAAGTTCATCGTCTCAAAATAAGTCACACCGACAACGACGATGCATTCACCACACAACAACACCATTCGCAACCCCCACCCCCGCAACAGTCACCCAAGTCGCCTCACTACAATTTCCACTACTACACGGGCACAAATGGTTCAATGTACGCTGACGAAGCGGCTGACCCTACCATGTCTAGTGCACAGAAGAAAACTTCAATTTTAATTAACGGTGATGACTGCTACTCAACGATGAATCTAAGTTGCGACGATGCGAGCACACCACTCTATCAATCCTCCGTTGTGGTGGCCGACTACAGTGCAAAGAAGCTAAGTGCAGGCTCGACAAATAGCGATGGCAGCTTCAGTGGACTAAAAGTGACGACCACATCAAATACCGTCACCATCAATGTCAGCAGTCCGCGTAGTGCTGCCGAAGAACTCATCTATCAGCATAATAAAATCAATGCAATGCTGAGCCAGCAGGCTGGGCTAAACGGAAACGAAGCAATGGTTTCCAATGGTGGCCGCGCTATAATACCAATTAAGGGCTCCGCAGAGGTGAATTTGCAACGCTCAGCATCGTCAACTTCCTCCACATCGACCAGCTCAATGACCAGCATTAGCAGCAGCGGCAGCGGTAGTGGTAGTGGCGCTGGAAGTAGTGGTTCAACACAGAAGCGTGGACGCACTTTGATTCGATTGGATTATGAGCAGGAAAAGTCGACAGTCTTAGAGCAACCGCAACAGGCGGACTTAAATTCGAATGCAACGCCTTACACGAAAGCGCCGACGGATATTATAGTTACGTGCGTAGAAGAGGAAGATGAGCTACTCTCGCACGAAGAAGAGCTGCTGAAAATTTTGCGTAATCCAGTTGAGGCTGTGAAAAGGAATCTTGTGCCGCACGTTTGCGGACGCAATGAGCCGACCACCGAGCAGGATACCATAAGGAATAGGAAAATGAAGGATGTTAGCAAGCGAGAGCTGGTTTCGGTAGAGTCCAAGCGCATGTCCAACAAGACCGGTTCGAGCAGTGTCACCATGGAAGATGCTGCTGTAGAAGCCACGGCAAGCACGATTTTGACCCCTGCAACTCCTGCTAAATCTTCCTTCATCACCAAACTTCTTGAAGATCCTATGCTCAGCCAAGTAGCTGAGGGTTTGGAAACTGAAACCGTTATCGAGTTAATTGAAAACTCTTTGAAACGCCTGCAGGAAACACGCAGCGCAGTGGATATGACTGGCACCAAAGACAATGACGATATGAATCGTTTAATCAATATCTCACTGCAGAAGATAAAGGAAGAAAGGCAGATAGCAACGAACGCGGTTGCGGCGACTTCTTCTACCGGTAGCAATACCCACCTTACCGTACCCACCAAAGATGAAGATGGCCTGTCTAATCGCGGCAGCATCAGCTCAGCCAACAGCTTTGCTTCAGCCAACAACTACGAAATGTTCGACTTCGACGCTAACGAGTCCGACTGCTACCAGAGCTGCTCCAGCGAAATTACCACCCCGTGTGATGAGGACATAAACTCAGCGAGCACGCGCTCCAAGTTCTATCAGATGCTGGTCGACGCCACACTAGCTGAGATAGAGATGTCCACCAGCTTGGAGGAGGAGGAGGATTCGGGTAGTCATCACTACGAGTCGATACGCAACAACGGCGATCCCATTTACGAGGAAATCAACGACATCCCACCACCTTTGCCACTCAGCGCACCGCCCATTAACGACGCCGACATGGAGAAGAAGGCAGCACGTTCCATATTCGAAGGCGCTTCCAAATATGATATACTTTCATACCTTGTCGACGCCAAAGAGCGCGGCGTAGTGCGCGAGGAAGCTTTCGATTACCCAGTCAACTGCTCGAATCCCATTATCATAGAGGAGGAAGCTGGTGACACGCTCAGCGAGCTGGGAAAACGTCAAGCGTTGCGCGATTTTAGCAGTTCGCGCGCCTCAGTACTCAGTGATTCTAGTGAGGATGCGCAAAGCGTTATGAGCTCACTCTCGCCGCCAACCAGCAATTTCATTTGCGGCAATGGCGGACAGACCGGCCTGATGCAACGCAACAAAGGCACTGCCAGCGACATTGAACGCAACGACTCGGGCGTCGGCTCAGAGACTAGCAAAAGTTCGCGCAGCAAATACCAAAATCCACTTCCCACAGTGAATGCACAACTTTTGCTAGACAATCCCATTCATCTGTGTGAGGACTGTGATGGTCCTGTAGAGACGCAAGTCACCGATTCGGGCATCAGATTTGCGCCACTCGTGTGTCGCAAATGTGGCAAGAAACGTGTGGAGCGCAAGGAGATCATAACGGAAATTGTTGAAACGGAGGAGAAATATGGACGCGATCTGCAAATAATTTTGGAAGAATTCTGTCACCCAATGCTAGTGGCCGGTCTACTCACACAGGAGCAGCTCTCTGCAATCTTCTTGAATACCGAAGAATTGCTCGAGAACAATCAAACACTGGCGGAGCGCATGCGCGATGCACTCGACATTGCTCTCGAGCAAGGCGACGACGATCTGCTGACGGTGAACATCGGTAAGATATTCCTGGACTTCACGCAGATGTTGCACGCCTTCGAGAGCTACTGTGTGCGCCAGGCGGGCGCCAGTTTGCTGCTGGCCAATCTCGAGAAGGAGAAAGAGCTGTTGCGCATCTTCTTGAAGGTATCGCAAATGGAGAATGCCGTTTTGAGGCGCATGAATCTCAACTCTTTCCTAATGGTGAGTGGAATAAATATTTCGTTAAAGCTATTCGAATACGATTTTTGTTTGCTTAGTGTAAAATTTTAATTGAATATAAAATGCGAGCTAAGTGCTTAATGCGGTAAGTGACACCTAAGCTCATTGCTGACACATTTTAATCATGCCATCCGCTTTGCATTAGGTATATTTAATAATCAATTTGCTTGGTAAAATTCCTAGCAGCACACACACAAACACATCCACCCCATACAAACACATTCAAGCACACACCGAACCACACAAAATTTCAATTATTGTTTGTTCTCCTCTTTTGGTTTTGTGCTTGCTTCCCACAGGTACCCGTACAACGTGTCACCAAATATCCACTCCTACTCGCCCGTCTCTACAAGGTCACACCAGCTCATCTGGAAGGACGTGACCAACTGAAACAGGCCCAAGAGAAAATCGAATTGCATCTCAACCATATCAACCAGGAAGCAAAGGATGTACCAACCAAACTCTGGCGTCGCATATCGTCATCGAGTCCGAATCGACGTGCTTCTTGCGAAATCGATATGATCAATATAAAACTACGTAAAATGGCCATCGACATACTTGAATGGAATCACGATGAAGTACGTTTTGCCATGGAAGGCAAACTGTTGTACACACAACCGACGGATAGCAATTGGAAGAAGGCACGCACCATCAAACTAACACCGGTCAATGCATTGCTCGTTACAAATGGCAAGGTGAGTGTGAATGCCCAAACTAGTAAGTGCCACAAACGAATCAATCCCCAACCACCGGCCAACTAAGTATTTAACCACTTAACCAAACAAGCATTCAGCCAATGAACCAATGAACTAAATAAACAGAAATTTTCTAGATGTATGCGAGTTTGTACATGTTTCTATGCTATGTTTGACTAGGACTTGACAATGGCTTGTCAGTTAATGCTTGAATTACATATTTCCGCTCACAATATCAATTTTAATTTTCTGCAATCTCTCAAATTGACATGCAGAAGGTAATTGCTAATATAAAAGTAGCGCAAGAATAGGTTAAAAGATTCAATTTCCCAATGGATAGCAGCTTAGTGGCTGGTAGTGAGTGAGAGACTTAAAAATATGACAGGTCAAAAGATAACTCCCCTTTTCTGAGGAATGTACGTAATGTATGTATATAGGTAATCTATGTGCTGTGGGGTATATTTACGTACGGTGACCATTCGTACCGATTTTGATGTATATACATATTGATTATGACTGCTCATGACAAAAGATTGTGTTTATTCAGAGCCTACTATAGTTTTTATAATGAAAAAAGTGTCTCCAAACGGAACGTCCGTACGCAGGAAACATCCATATTGAAAGTTAAGCTTTCACGTCCGCTTGAACCAGTTGAAAGTTTAAAAATATTTATGTACATCTCAGTAAATCTAACGAAATTAACCACCATAATAATAGCAATGTATATATCGTCACCTGAAATGCAAAAAGTCATAACTAATAAAAAATGCTAAATTAACTTTTTTGATTTATATGAAGGATTTTATCGAATTACAACTCCCCACATCATTTTATGAAAAAAATAAAAAAAAAATATTCACGACTTTTTCCATTTCATTTACGATTTTGTTGTTGTCTTTTTGCATTTCAGGTGACACTATGTGCATACATATTTTTCGAGCGCTTTCATTTACACTTGCAATTATATAAGAGCACCTCGAATGATAAGCCGCAGAAATAAAATGTGCAAAGCCCTTTTCAAATACGATTTTTACCCTTTTAAATGAATTGATTTTAGACACAATCGCTGAACAGTTGCACAACTGGCAATTGAAGTCGCTTGTACAGCAGTTACAAGGCGATAACGAACCAATGCGGAAATCATAGACACCACCCAAGCATTTACATACACACATATGTACGTGTACCGTCTCAACACGAATGAAGCGCGCAATCTAATCTGATGTAACAGCATTCCAGTCTATGCGTTTTTTTCTATTTGAATGAGCAAAATAGTAGTTCATATCGTTGCGTTTCCTTTCGTTTGATTGTACGGCGGTAGAGTGCATCGCTCACGCATTGAGTGCATATTTTAAAATTTACAAATGCCACCAACTGTGTGGACAGTACGAGTAGTTATTGCCAGAATGTGTACATACAAATGTACATACATAGAACACAGCATAGCACAGCGCAGCACACAAGAACTAGAACATAAAGTCAACGCTTTTATGGCTTCATTCATATGTACACATGTATGCAGTCGTATGCGAGTTCCAAAGTTCGCTTTTGTACATTTGCAGTGTGAAACAAAAAAAAAAACATTTACACGATTTTCAACATTTCCTAAATTTTTTTCTTCCTTTCTTTCTTTTCATCCCCACATACGCCTCTTGGTCGAAATGGCTGCTTTGTATGCCGCAATCGTCGTGATTCTACTCCACCTACTACTCAACTACAACAACAACTACATGCATACCAACATTCGCACCATTGCTTGCAGCCAAGCGCCAATTATAAGGCAGAAAAAGTTATGTCAGATAAACTGAATTTCCCAAAACACACCGGCATACGGGAGGCCTCACTGCTGGTGATGAAGGAGAAGTGCGGACGCTATACGCTGATACGTGAGCCATTGTATTTGGACAGATGCGTTGTGTGCAGTGAAGCGGACTGGGATGATTATTTCGAGGTGCAGGAAATCTCATCGAAGGACACTTTCATATTCAAAGTGAGTATTTGAAATAAAAGAAAAAAAAACAAAAAAAAAACGGAAACAGTTTTGTAATAAAACAATTGATAGTTCAAAAAGTGATAAAGAGAAGTAAAATATGAACTTTTAGGCGTAGTAGAAAATTGTGTGAGGGGATGCACAACATAGTCGTAATAGCGGCCCCCGTGTATGCCTTAGAGAGCGCATTATTTTGTTTTTAACTTTTCTATCAGGAACAAATATGTACGCTATTATTTATTTATTTGAGTGCATATGATTTTCTACTTCTTATTTTCTCACTTCGCATGGTAGGAACCGAAATTTGCCGATTTAAGTAAAACTGCGGACAGGCTTCCTTCCAGCTCGAATGGAGAAGAGTGCCACGTTGTAAGGAACCCCTTATTCAAAAATCGCTCTTTAACAATTATTTTTTGACTTTTATTTAATTACTCCCTAAATAACCATTATTTCTAACTTTTATTAGATACATCGAAAATAACAATTATGTGTTCTTTTTATCTAAATAATCTGCAAATAATAGTTATTTTTAATTTTTAAATTACATGTCTTAAATAACAGTTATGAAAGACTTTTATTTATAAAAGTCATAAATAAAAATCAGTCACTTACATTTGTTTTTTAAATCACACTTAAAAATAATCATTACTTGTTTTAATTTTGCATAAAAATTGCAAATAAAAATTTATTTTAAAATTTGAGTCTCAGTGAAAAAAGAAATCAATTGGTATGTATCACTTAGTTATAGAACATTTCCTTCATAGTGAATTTTTCCATGACAGTTTTCATCAATAACTGTTATGCTCGGTCCCTGTTCTTCTGGTTTACTTTTCTTAAAGGCGCAAATAATTACTTCCCCTACTACACGGCAGTTCGCACGGCTCTTATTATAGAAAATCTTTCGCCTCTTTATTGATTTTGAATAGCTATTTAGCTCTGACTATCCTCCGTCGGATGGTTGCGTGAAGTACCTTCCAAGCCTGCATTCAGTATAATCCGGATTTGTTCCTTTAATAGGCGCAGAGCATACTCCGATTACAACATACACGGGATCCTCAGTTACCTCCTCCTTAAAAATCGTGGGAATCAGAGGTGTGCCTACCACCACTAGGCGCACGTTGTCTTCTACTCTTTGGTGATTTGGAATCACTCTCTACTGCCCTCTTAGCCTTCCGATGTCATTGGGCCTCCGCACACTGGACTGCCGAGTCCGTCTTAAACCGGTTTTGTACAGGCAAGAGAGGGAAGAGAGTGCGAGTTTACTTCGTCCATTTCAGTCCGCGAAAATCGCGGATTGACATTGGACTGACATGCACGCATAGACAATATATTTTGCGTTTCGTTTCCGCTCCCTTTATGCATTCCTCTGATCATTAGTCCCAGTAACTCGGTCTCTTCAAAAATCTCTTTTTCTTAAGCTATCTGTCGATAGGGGTCACTAAGGTGATGCCACATCATCCAGGTCAGCAGAGGGGTTCGAGTGACCATCTACGCCCACCTGTCTATCAGCTTGTCCACTGCCCCTCGACTTAAGCAACTTTGAAGTCGAGGGCCTGTCGCAATCGCCATGCATTTGTCTAGCGGCCATCAAGGACGGACGTGGAACTACGTCCAATCTGACATCACTGTCGTCTCCCTTGCTAGGGCTGCGCCAAAAGCTGCATGACGCCTAATGCTCAATTGTATTTCGACAGACCGTTCTGCCACTCTCTCTTTCGCACTTTGTGGACCATTCGCTGTGCTTTAAGAAATAGGCAGGCTGTAACTGAAAATTTTCATTAGCCACATCGTTCTTTGGAACATGGCTGGAGAGATTGCTTCAAAATTCCGGAAATTTATAGGACTGGAAATATCATAGTTTTGTGTATAATTTTCAATGAGTAATCTGCCAGGTCCATTAGATGCTCCAATATGTCAGAAATTCTTTAAGTATCCCCTCCTCCATACTTCTGGAACTGCGTATGTGGAGGTGATTTTCCAGACACTAACGAGTCCGTTCTACGAGGGCTTCAAGACGTTTTTGTACCGGTTTGTCCCTTGTCCCAGTAACATCTAAATAAGAAAAAATTTTTCTAACAGCGGTCGCCCTTCGGCAGGCAGTGGCAAATCTCCGAATGTATGTATGTATTTCTGCTTTGAAACTATTGTAGATCCATCCATTTGTTTTATAACATCAGGTCGCACACCACAAATTGGGGGAGATGCTCGGCCTAGCGCTTAGAAAAGTGTAGCGCCAAAATATTACTTTTATTAATGGTTTTATATTAAAACTGTTTAAAGCTCAATATGACTGTAGGGATACTTAAATTACACAAAAAAACGGCGAGAAACGTAAACTTAATTTTGGGTAGTAGATTACGGATCTGTATACCGTTTTTATTGATCAGATAATTTTTTTAAGATATTTTCATTTTAAATTTGCATTGTGAATAAAAAAAGATTCAAACTTTAACACGGAAAATGTTACTTATACGTACGGTGACCATTCGTACCACTTTTGGCGGGAAAGTACCGATTTTGAGGAAATTCTCCCACTGAATATTTTTATAAGTCGGGACGTATGACTGTCCCAATTTTTCATATTTGTACCGAATAAATTTCGATTTTCAGTGTTTTCTTTTTTATCCCTTTAAAGACCGATGTTGCTTATAGGCAACATTGACATTTCGATTAATAAATCCTGTTGTTTGCATTATTTTAAAGGTTTTTTTTAAATTTTGTTGTGTAGACAAAAAGCTTAACCTCTTGTCCCAATTTTAGCATCAATAAGTTTTCAGCACCTTTTCGTTGTGACTACCCGTGTAACATAAATGTTGCTTAAAATCGTTCTGCAACATATAAAAAATACACATAAAATATTATATTTTTTTTTTTTGCAAAAGGGTTTGGTTATAAAATATAATAAAATAAAAACACAAAACAAAAAACCCTGAAAAATGTTTTTGGTCTTTTATAGGAAACTTTTTAAACACTTATAAGCAGCATTTCATAGCAGTCAACCGAAAAAAATCATAGATGTTCAAATTTTATATCAGTTCACATTTAAGGATTAACGAACAATAATATGCCGTAAAAAATTTGTTAGCCCACCCAACTTAATTCGGTCATCAAAGAGTTAATTTAATAGCGGTCTCCCTGTACTCTGCCCCAAAAGGCATTTTTCGGACAAATAGCATCCTTATTTTCTATTATTTTTGGTTATGTTTTAACTGTATTAAAAGATGTAATGTATTTTTATTCTAAAAACAAAATTGTATGTTCGAATTAGAAGCTTTAGAAATGTACCGAATTTTGTTCACAGAAATCTGGTCACCGTACTTATACGCCATGTACGAGTATGTACGATGTGGCGTATGAGTAACATTCTAACCTGGCGCTATTTCATACAAAATTTTATTGAACATTTTCATTTAACCATTCAAAACTTCTTTATTTATATTAGGCAAAAGAAATAAAATTTTTTTTAATTTTTCCTTGTTAAAATTTGAATATTTTTTCATAAAAATTAAAATATCTTGGGAAATTGACTTGATCTGGAAACCCCTAATCCTAAGTTCACGTTTTAGTGTAATTTCAAAACTTGCAATTTTCCTGACAGTATAATCTTAGGTTCTTTGATGGCACTTTCTGAATAATTGAATTCTTTTTCAATCATTCTAAAAAAATTTTTACTCAAACTGAAGAAGAAATTATTAAACAGGCTCGATTACAAAAAAAAAAACAAAAGAAATACTCCATATAAAGGAAAGTAGAGGGTCGCCTTTGGGTAAAGCCCCTATCTGACTTGTGCTCGACCAGAGTCGTTGATAGGAGCATCTAAAAAGCCAATAACGAAAAGAATTAATTAATAAATATGTCTAATTAACTTTAAGATCTCTCATGAGCCAATTTTTTGCAGTGCTGAAACAAATAATTATTATTTTTTTTGCACTTTTAGGCCGAGGATGGTGTTCGTACCAAGCAATGGTACACCCAACTGCAATATCACGCTCAGGGTATGGGCGCTTGGCGTAAACGACGCAATGCTCTTGCCAATATTATGATCAATGGAATGCTGACACGTACCTAAATCGAATGAAGTATAATGGAAGTGAAATATATTGAAACGCAATTCAAGTTAACTGCCTTAGCACTAAAGTATCGTAAGCTTAGAGCGAACGAAGTAAAGCGGTGAAGTTTTCAACGAAAAAAGCGAAATAAATAAATAGTAATTAAGAAACGTAAGGAAATATAAAATATTAAACAAAAACTGCAAAATTTATGTAACAAAAAAAACAATGCAAATGTAACGAAAACTGTTTTGCAAAAAAAAACGCAAAGAAGCCATTCCTTTTGATTAGAGGTAATTCAAGTTTCTTTGTATTTGTAAGTAGCGCGCAGCAGTGAATGCATTTTCATTAAATATTAAAGTACTTTTAAATTAGATTAGAAACGTTTATTGGATTTATAAATATGTCTTAAATATTTCTTGTACTACCATAGTTGTAGTTACATTTCGCTGATATTAAAATTACTAAAAATATATGCATTTAAAAATATTTTTGCATAAAATGCTGTTCGCGCCGCTTTGGACGAAAGTAGTTAGTAAATAATTAAAAAAAAAAAATCGATTTGTTTAAAACTTTATTTTATTAAATTTCAAAATTATTATCTTTTTTAACTTTACCATAAACAATTGTAGGTGTATTGAAATTTTGCTTGTAAATTGCAAGTGATCTAGATTTGTAGCCTTTTGATTTAAAGCATAAACTTTATAAAAAAAAAAATATTTGTTTATCGTTATAACTTACCCAAAAATATATAAAACACATAATAATACATTTATTTTATATGCATATATTATATGTACTTACACGAACATAAATTAACATTATCTTAATCGGCATATAAATATATTAAAGCACACACACACACACACATACACAAATGTGACTCTGTAAAAGTGAAGCAGTAAAATAAATAATCTGAAAATTATAAAAAAAAAAATTATTTTTTTTAAGACTTGTTGTTCAATCCTCTATCAGCGTTAAAACGCCCTAAATTTAGTTTCAAAAACCTAAAAAAATATTCCAAATGTTCGTCAGAGTTGTGAGCGATCAGAGTGGTATCTCATAGTGTAGGTATTAAATTTCATCAAATTTCAAATCACCCTATACCGATCAAAAATGGTTCTTAATTAATTTAAATAAAACTTGATCGCACATCTACAGGCTAAGGTCTTTAATTTGACCTCTAATTTTTTAAATTCATTCTAATGGCTATCACAAAAAATGCCTTCTCATACAATATATGCACATACATACCTACTTAGTTATATTGATATGACTTTCTGAAAAGGTGGCCAGCCTAATCAAAGATATTTTCAAACAAAAACTTTCATAAACCTCTTTCGATTGACACCGACATCTTAATATTTCATAAAAATTGTCTATGAGTTAACTAAATTCGACTTTTCAAAACGATGGAAATCCTTTTCAAAACTATTTTCAAACTAAAATCCTATTAAATGTCTTTCTTCTGTCATTCTGCTACACATGTCTTTCAATAAACTGATGAACTAAGTTGAATTTTATTGTTGAAACACGTGGTAACTCTCCTAAATAAACGTCAGAAGTAAAGAGTTTTCATTTCGATTGATACCCGCCCTATTATAAATCATTTACCTTATTAAATAATCTAAATTTAATTTTTCAAAAAGATGGCAACTCTTTTGAGACTCCCCAAACACTTTCTAAATGTTCAAACGAAATATTTCTTAATACTCTTCCGTTTGACACCCATATTTCATATAACCTATGTATTAGTTAACTAAGTTCGACTTTTCAAACAGGTGGAAGCCCTCCTCAAAAGTATTTTCAAGCTAAAACCTCTATGAACTCTTCTTCGTCCGAAATTGCGATACAGATTTTAATTAACAGATGAACGAAGTTAAATTAGATTTTCTAAACACGTGGCAACCCCGTTACATATAGTTCAGAAATAGAGATTTTTCAAACCCCCTTCGATTGATAGCCATATTTTAATAACTCATTTAATTTATTAAATACTTTGAATTTAACTTTTTAAACAGGTGGCAACCTTCTTCCCTCACCTCAAAAAAATGTTTCTAACTAAAGATTTCTTAACACTCTTTCGTTTGACATCCATATATTCATATTTCAGATAACTTATGTATAAGTTAACTAAACTCGACATTTCAAGCAGATGGCAACACTCTTCAAAATATTTTCAAACTACTACCTTCTAAACCTCATTTCGTTTGGCACCCATATGTGGATACATGTTTCTCATACCAAATTCACTTAATTTCAATTGAATTCGAATTTTTAAACAGGTGGCAACCCTTCTATAGTTCAGTTAAGAAACAAAGCTTTTCAAAACCATTTCGATTGATACCTATTTTGTAATAATTGGTTTATTTTTTTAAATAATTTGAACGTAAAAAGTTGGCAACTCTTTTCAAAAAAGTAAAACCTTTTTGGACATCTTCACTCCAGGTCTTTTAATTTGATACCTCATTTTGGAACATCGAACGAACGGTGCGGATCCTTCATCCTGGACAAAAAATGCCTTCGCGTATTATATATCGACTGCTGAGTGGAAGATCGACCTATCTCGGCAGCCAGTTCGAAAACGCTTACCTCAAAAAACTTTTCTAGAACGCTCTATTTCAGTATTTTATTGAAAAATACCCTATCTCAGAATTCGGTTCAAAAACGCTCTATATCACTTCAAAATGTATTGAAAATGTAATGAGATAGGGCGTCCTTCAACCAAATTCTGTAATAGGGCGTTCTTGCAAAGTTTTTTGAGATAGGGCTGATCTGGTTACTAAATTTTTTTTTCTAAGTATATCTATCAGTTCTATGGAATTGTTGCTTTGATTTTGCGTACAATTTTAAGTCGTCCATATACAATAAGTGAGTTACTCTAAGGGATGCTTTGCCAGCTTTCATAGTAAATCCCTAGTATGTACTTTTCAATACTTGGCTCAAAGTATTCATTGCTAAACCAACCAAGAAAGGTGACAAAGAGTTTCACTTCTTCTTCTTCGATTAATTGCAATTTCTCTGGTTGTAGCGCTAAGTCCGCCTACTGGGTGGTGCAGAGTTGTTCGCCACTTCTGTCACGACTTGGTTCAGGATATTTATCACTTTTTCGTTTACTTTGTATACCTTCAAAATCTCCATCAGATACGAGTGAGGTACGGAATTATTATTATTATTATTATCATTTCACTGCCCTTTATCAATTTCTCTAGTAATCATTTACTGCGCATTTTCAATTTGAAAGCATAGTTAGAATAAATCCTGAAAGCTGCAATTCAAATGCAACAACTCGTATTTTACATTCTTGTTTGCACACAAATTGTTATCTATTTAGTACGGTATTTGTTAAGCTCTTTCACACTTGGTCAGCTGTTACAATCATAAATAATACAGCTTTCACATGACAGAACTTACATTGCATTGCTGTAATACTTCGGAAATAACTGTCTAAAATTCAACTAACTCAAAAGTATTCATGCATTTATCCATCTATGTGTGTATACATTTTCCATGTCCAGCAGTTGTAAGCAGCCGGTGCGAAATAGTTTACCCTTTTCTACGAGTATTTATTAAAATTGATGCAAATAAAAACAAACAATTGCACCATCGGCGTCCATGTCATGTCAGAGCAGACCGCTGCTATCACCTTTAGGGAAACCATCACCATCCAAACGATCCAAATACACGAATGGCGCTTCCTGTGCTTCGTTTTACACTTGAACATTCATAAATGTCATTTAACACGTTGCACATTTTCAAGCGTCATAACAAATTGTTGCACTTGCAGCAAATGAAAAAAAGCAGCAAAACAACAAAGACGCCCAAAAAATGTCGCTTGCAACTATTGTTCACACTTTCGGCGTTTGTTTTTTGTGCCTGCTTTTGTTGTTGCTCCTGTCAACACCGGCTGTCAGCAAGGCTTGTGTTAGCTGGCTGCCAACCTACCTACCTGAATAGTTGTTGGATTTGTTTGTATATGTGCCTTTATGTATTTAGTTTTATTTTTTGCGCTATCCAGAAAATGAACATTGCAACGGAACATTTGTGTTGACAGCGGCGCGAAAATAAAATTTCAAAAAATAACCAACACCAATGTTGAAGCGAAAACGGTGACATTTGGAAACAGCAGTAATGGTGCTGAGTGCCACTGCCAACTTACAATGCAAATAAAAAAAATAAAAAACCAAAGGGTAGCGAGAGCACTTATTTTTTATTTGATATTTTAGACAACAGTTGTTGCAATTAAATAGAATGCCACGAATCTCAGACGATTTTAATTTAAAATTTTTATTGACTTGAAATTTCTTGGCAATGCAATTTTTTGGCATTGCACTATGAACTAAATAGTCACTCGAGATAAAATGTACAGTGCTTGGCGAATTGTAACATGAAGAAAAGCTTCCAACCAGGGTTGCCAGCGGTATGGTTCCCGCATACCCTCCCTCACCAGTCGAGGGAGAAAGTGAGTCTCTAGATGAACAGAGGATGTCTCAATAGTAGTCTTCGTTAAAGAGCAGCTTGGTGGTTTGGCCCTTTTAAAAAACTTTTACCAGCATACCTGTTTGTCTCAAGGTTTCAATCCCGCTGCAGTATTTAAAAAAAAGAGGCCCCCTTCGCAGAGCGAATTATACTACGGCTCTCCCATTCGTAATTGGCACTGTAAACTGTGAAGCCTGTTCCCGCTGTGGGCGTTATTCTTTGCTCCACAGCCTTCAGCCAATCCCAGTTAGCTTTGGAGAGAGGCATTTCACCATTATGCTTCCATCCCCCTCTTATGAACGAGCATTGGCTACAGTTCCGGAGGCCTGGATCAGATGGATCTTGCAGTGTTTAATTGCCGCTGTAGTCATCTGCCCATTACGGAAATGAGTGAAGAGCCTTTTACGGGCTCTCATAACAAGTTGGCCGGGCCTCCACACCTCCAGACGTAGTTGGAAGGCTTTCGTGGCACCAGATGTCTGTCTGGCTGATCGGAATTGGGCAATGCCACACCAGTACCCGCCACACAATGACTCGAAGAGGCATTGCCCATTGGTGGATATCACTGCAGTTTTCCTTCTCTTGCAACGTTCGCCAGCAGATTTGGATGTCGGTGCTTCTTCCAGAGTAATCTCCGTAAACCTGGGACGCTTACTGAATGCAACTACGGGAGAAGTTAGGTCAACCACAGAAAAGGGTTT